CAACGAGGCTGGTGAGGGGTCTGGAGAACAAGTCTTATGAGGAGCGGCTGAGGGAACTGGGGTTGTTTAGCCTGGAGAAAAGGAGGCTGAGGGGAGACCTCATCGCTCTCTACAACTACCTGAAAGGAGGTTGTAGCGAGGTGGGTGTCGGTCTCTTTTCCCAAGTAACTAGTGATAGGACGAGAGGAAATGGCCTCAAGTTGCGCCAGGGGAGGTTTAGATTGGATGTGAGGAAAACCTTCTTTACTGAAAGAGTGGTTAAACATTGGAACAGGCTGCCCAGGGAAGTGGCTGAGTCACCATCCCTTGAAGTATTTAAAAGATGGGTAGATGAGGTGCTTAAGGACATGGTTCAGTGGGCATGGTGGTGTTGGGTTGATGGTTGGACTCGATGATCTTAGAGGTCTTTTCCAACCTTAATGATTCTGTGATTTTACTCCATAATCATAATTCAGGTTATAAAACAATGCAGTCTCATTAATTTGATAGAAAACTTCAATGGTGGTATTTATGATCAGTCAGCTTCAGTCAGAAGTGTTCATAGAAATGTTGAAGCTTTGAGCATGGAATAAACTTAACTTTATTTTTGCTTTTTTTAGGAGACTATATTCTTGATGCAAAACCTAAAGAGATATCTGAAATTCAGCGTCTAAATTATGAGCAGGTAAGGAGCTGCTCCTAAAATACAACTGCTTACGTGTGAAGGAACTAAAACTTTTTTTTTACCTAAGGTTTATCATCTTGTTAAAAAACAGAAGCATACAAACCATTGTTTGTAGTTAGTTTTTCCTTTTTTCCTAGGCTTGATGTAGAGTATTATTTGTAAATAATTCCTGTTAGTGTAGAAAAACTCAGTATCTATTCACACAATAAATTATTATTTTTGCCTACAATGAGTGAAATTAAAGAATTTTGTTTTTATTGAATTATAACACGGAAGTGCAGATGGAAGTACATAACAGGGTGGTTGCTCTTTACAGTCTTCTATTATGCGTCCTTCAGTGTACTCTGTTTCGTGATCCCTGCTAGACTTTCTCTGAGGATAAGAACTGAGCAAGAACGAGATCTCTGTTCTTAAGTGGTGATGGACAGAAAGAGGTTGATTCCGTATTATGAAAGGCAATATTATTTGCACTAACCAGTATTTTTGTCATCACAGAAGTCCTTCTATGTTAAAGATAATGCTGTTAGTTTAAAACAATATTGATGTAGTATATATTATCTTGGAGCAAATTTTTCAAGCTCTGTCTGTGGTCACAGCTGGTTTTTTGATTACTCATGGAAAAATGATTTGAATTTATTATATGTGTTAGGTTTCAAGCTAGTTCTATTTATTAGGTCTTCTTTTCTTGCTCTCATTCAGTGTTGAAAACCAAATCGAGTATCTCGGGATAGTTGAAATAAGACTGAAGATTGAATGTGGATTCTTTTAATAGTAATCCAAAATATGACTTGTATCAAATTATATGTATTATTTCTGTAGTAACAAAATCAGCTATATTTTTTCCACACAATTCTGTGCTGTAGAAGATTATAGCTATAATCAACTTACAGGAGGGTGATGAAAGCTATATACCTGGTTAAAGTACAACCTCTGTGGCTTTCTTGTGCTCAAATATATGGGTTTACTATGTAAATGTCACAAACCTTTTCCTTAAATATTTAACTGTACAATTTTAAAGAAACCTTCTGTTCTAGGAATGTTCTAAATGTACTAATAGATGCATGAGTGATATCGCATGAGAGGGAAAAAGAAACTAATTAGGCAACTGAGTCTTCCAAAACTATTACATTTCAGAAGCATTGGAACTAAGTCTTAGTGTTAATCATAATTTTGTGTTTATCTTGTCACATAGTTAATATTCTTTGCCTAAAACAATATATTTTCTTCTTACATGAGAAATTCAAGTAAATTTTTTGGACAGCTGGATTTGTAATGCTTGATTTTAGTATAATTTCAACATCGTGACAAGATACTAATTTCATCTGTGGCTTTCTTTTTTACCATACTGAGGGATTTAATTAAATATTTGAATGAAAGTTGGATTTAAAAAAAAAAAAGCACAAGTTCTAATGCACAAACTTAAGAACAGGTTGCCCAGGTAGGTTGTGGAGCCTCCATCCTTGGAGATACTCAAAAGCTGTCTGGACATGGTCGTGGGCAACTGGCTCTAGGTGGCCCTGCTTGAGAAGGGGGGGGTGGACCAGATGACTTCCAGAGGTCCCTTCCAAGCTCAACTGTTCTGTATGTTTATATCCTCGCTTATTGGCATTCATTTTTTTCAGAAACTTGTCGCTTTGAAGGTGTGGAAATAGCTAAAATAGAAATGATACTGTTCAAACTGTAGTGAGAAACTTCAGTTTTATGGACAGTTTGATGTATTCCTGCTTTGTTTACAAAGCAAACATTACAAAATAAATGCAACTAATGTCTGTAGATGCATGATCTGAATTTGTGGATGGCTAGTGCTATAGACTTTCTTCCTACTCATTTAGCAGACTAAGAGTATAGCAGTATTTCTTCCAAAACACCTCTGATAGGTTTTTATACTTGATATCTGGTCCCTACTAATGAAATGCACTTCTTAAGTAAGGTGGTTTGGTTTGCTATTATAATGATAAAAACTTTAAAAAAAATTTAAAAGTCTGAGCCAGATCTTGAGAATTAATTGCAAATCTTGCTAAATTCTAAATCTTGTGACATAGCAAAATTGTCAAAAAGGATGAAGCAACATGTAGTAACGTAGTAGGAGCTGTTACCTTCCTGGTAATAGAAACTTTACACAGCAGTGCAGTTAAAGGGTTACAAGCTGTAAAACTCTCATTCATAGCGACCACTCTCAAGTGCAGATACTGGGTAATGATCATGACTGTTCTACAGCTATGCTTTATTAAGTAGTTTATAAGCTTTTCTGTGTAAGCTTCAGCTCTTCTGAGAGCTTTCCAGGTTTAAATCTGCTTAGTAACAAGGAATTATGTCTGTTTATAAATTTAATTTAGGAATTTTCAGAAGTTGCATCTAAATTGAAATTACTCAAAGTAGGAACAAGCTTATTGTTCTACTGTCATTATATTAAGGAAAAAAAGTACATTTAAACTTGCATACCAGTAAGAGGAGTAGCTTAATTCCTTCGGCTAAAATGTTGAGGTTGGTGAACATGAAATTTTTGCTATGTGCCTTAATGAAACCATGCTGTTGCATGTGTAAAGTGTTGTGCAAAGATCTGTAGGCGAGACTGTGTAAGCAGACATATAAATATGTAAAACAATTTTTACATGCAAGTTTTGTTTTAGAATTCTGTTGCATGCTGAGAGATGTCTAAAACTTCTTCCAAGATCTAGGTAACGTTCATCTTCCCAACAGATGCAAAACTGTGCTTAGAATTGGATCATGAAGTATTGAATGATGTAGCTACTTCATTTAGCTTGTTTACTTAGTGAGTGTTGTATGTTTTAATTGATACATTCTTCACAATATCAAGTTACAAGATGCATAGACTAATTTCTTAAACTGTCGTCTTAAAAATAGTAAGGTCTACCTTGCGTTCTAATATATAGGCTTGTGTTGGCATTCTGCTCTGTCTATTAATGTGTGCACTAATGTGCTGCAGGAGTGAATGCTTAAGTTAATATATTGGTTATGTTATTGTTTAATGGATCCAGTTATTTGTAATTTTCCTGCATTCCAGCAAGTTGCTTTTAATTTGATGAAATAACTCATCACTATGTACCCCACTTATGCCTTGTTGGCCTACCTAGCTCTTTAATAGCTTTCTCATTATTCATCCTTTAGTCAGTCATCCTTATTCTCAGTTTTTTGTCTTCCCTTATTGATTCCATTAATTGTTGTTCTTGCCATTAACTGTCTCACAATTAAAAGAAGACAACACAGAGGCAACTGTCTCTAACAGTCAGTGGTTTTAGTCTGTGAATCTTCTGTCTCCCACCTCCTTTCCAATCTGTATTTCTAGTTTTTTGTCATGCTTTTTCCCCCATTGTTGCAATCGTGAATTCCTCTTAAGCAAGAAAATATTGCAAAACTAAGCAAAAAAAAAAACAACCACAAAACAAAACCAAAACCAACAAAACCCCAACCAAACAAAAAAGCGCCTCAGTTTCCCTGAATCTTTTGCAAATACTTTCTGATTATACTCTTTGTGGACTCTTCTCACTTGGTGGAAAATTCTTTTTCCTGCATGTCAGGAAACTTATTTGTTGGTTCAAGAGACCTGTCTCACAAAGTACTTTTTCTTTGGCTCATCTTTGCTTTGTGTGATTGGATCTTCATAACTTGATAATTCCCCTTAGGATTCCATTGGGATCACTCCTATAATAAGTGCTACTTTCATGACCTGTTTCCACAGTAGAATCTACAGGCCATTTAAAGGTATGCCCAAAATAAGAGAGCAAAACTTTTTTAATGAAACAAAAAAAAAGATTCTTCATTGTTGTTCACTTTAAATACTGAACCCCCAAATTAGAGTTGGCAAGTAGAACTGTGTAGATCTGTTTGTTTTGTCCATTCGTTATGTGGTGACAAGTACTTCAGCCTGACTCGTAAGGCAGGAATTAAAAGGGGAGAAGAAACCTCAAGAAGAGTCCCATAGAGATTCCCTTGTAATCCAATTCTTCTTGCAAACGTCTGGGAAATAGAGCTAAAAGAAAGAGGAGCTGCCTAAAAGCAGCTTATGAGCGTAGAAGATGAAACAGTCAGTTACAGCTGATCGGAGGGAGAGTTCTTATTTTGCAGATCTCTTCTGGCACGATGAGAATGAATAATGTGAATATGCATTGAAACAGTTGTTTAGCTAATTTCCCCTTTTGTAAATTTGTTTTTTTTAATGTTGAATTGATGAGTACTAAACAATGAAGGGTTACAAGAGTAACCACCAAGTGTGCAAAGCTCTATTTGGTCATCTGTTTTTTTTTCTGTCTGCTGTCAGAATATGAGTGATGCAATGGCGATTCTACATAAGTTACAGACGGGTCTGGATGTCAATGTGAAGTTTACAGGTGTACGAGTATTTGAATACACACCTGAATGCATAGTGTTTGATCTTCTTGATATCCCCTTGTACCATGGATGGTTAGTGGACCCTCAGGTAACTTATTTTTTCAATAATTCAAACAGAATATAAGTTATTCTGAATTTTATTGGAGGGAGGGGAGATGTTTCAGAATTTTAACTGGAGTCAATAATAATGATTATGGTAATGGATTTTTTTAAATCTAGTCAGAAAAATTGCGTTCTCTTCAGAGAGGCGTGAATACAGACTGTACATGTGTTTTAGTATGGTAACTTTGCAGAGACTAGGTCTATAGTCAAGCTAACTTTGAAAGCCTTCTATGCTGAATTCATGACTGTGTAAATGAGAATTGTTGTTCTGAGGGAGATAGGAAGTTGCCAGATATGGTGTCTCAGTTATTGTTTTTGAAAGCTTGTTAGACAACTCTTGGAAGGAATGCAAGGTTACTTTCCTTCTTTCTTTAATTCTGATTTACTAGTCACTGCTTTTGAGAACTTAGGATTTTAGAACCAATTGGGGAGAACTGCATCTTTAACAAACATATGATTTATTTTTAATGATATTATTTAAATAAACAGTAAACTGGTACTGTTTACTTAGGGGGAAACTGCTGAGTTTGGCTGGAATACTCTGCCTCAGATTTTTCTTTTTCATGCCTTGTTCATGAAAGTTGCTGTTCTCTTATTGTCTTGGACTTCCCCCCCCCCCCCAGCTGAGCTAACTGATGCCCCATTATCTCCTCCCTCCATTTTAGCAACAGCTTTTGATGTTAAGTGTTAACTTAAGGATTTAAAATGGGATCTGAGACCACAAAATGTGTAACAGTCTGGGCTAAAACTTTTTGGCCTAGTATTTTTAGGTGAATAACGTACTCTCTTTGAAACTCTTCTTATTTTATTATGAATAATTGCCATAGGCTTACAGTTGTGTTCTGTTCTTCACAAAGGTTAAGTTCTCTGTTTTGTATGCTGTTCCTGCTCCAGGTTGCTGACATAGTAAAAGCAGTTGGTAACTGCAGTTACAATCAGCTAGTGGAGAAGATAATTTCTTGTAAACAGTCGGACAACAGTGAACTGGTTAGCGAAGGTGGGTAACTTTTTTCTAAGCTTTATTAAAGTATCTACCCTATCAAATCTTAGTTACATATTTTGTATGTGGGTCTTGGTATGTAGAGATACAAGTGTGAAGAGCTGCATTCTGTCTGCTGAACTTCTTTCCCTGGGCAGGCAGACAGCACTGTGTTTGTCACTTCTCTGATGCAATTTCCAAACCAAGGATCAGCCTCATTCTCTTGATCTATTAAATATACTTTTTAAAAAGCTGGAGAAAACTTCCTTTTCTGAAAAGTTATTATGGGCAGCATTCAGATTTCAACTTGGATATATATTGTCTCCTATAATTATCATAGAATAAAATCCTAGACTAGTTTGGGTTGGAAGGGATGTCTAAAAGTCATCTAGTCCAACCCCCCTGCTGTGGGCAGGGACATCTTCAACTAAATCAGGTTGCTCAGAGCCCCATCCAACCTGACCTGGAATGTTTCCAGGCATGGGGCATCCACCACCTCTCTGGGCGACCTGTGCCAGTGCTTCATCACCCTCAGCATCAAAAATTTCTTCCTTATATATATATATATATATGTATGTTCTAGATATAGATATATACACTATATATGTATTAGAACATGAATTATATACTACATGATGACAAAGAAAAAAATCAGTAATATTAGAAGCGGATATAGCAATTCTGAACATGAGAGTATTATCTACAATGTTGAGGTTTTAGAACTTTCAACTCATTTTCCTTTCTCTGAATGTTTTCCCTTAGATTTGTGGTAATAAGTGGGCATCTTAGTAGGGAGGAGATAGGAGAAATATTACCATTATAACCAGGTTTTATATATTAGGAAGTATGTAATAGACACATGTAACAGTACGTATTGCTTTTGTAGGATTTGTAGCTGAGCAATTTCTAAATAACACAGCTACACAGTTGACATACCATGGACTCTGTGAGTTGACTTCAGCTGTCCAGGAGGGAGAGCTTTGTGTGTTCTTCAGGAACAACCATTTTAGCACCATGACCAAATACAAGGTATATTCAACATTTTTGTCTTTACTGTTGTGGTTTGCGTTCTCATTTCAAAGCAAATCTTGGTTTTCAACTGTCTTGAAATAGAAATAAATTCCAGTTTGTTGTTACATGTAAGTATGGCTTATGGTGAATGTAAGGTCTGTAGCAAATGTTACTTGTGAATTATTGATTACAGTGTTTTAGATACCAAGATCCATTATCACTTTAAATCTTGTAGCTCTTCCCTTTATGTTCAGTTTGCTCCCTGTGTGGTTATGTATAATGACATACATTTCTTACATGGCTTAAATTTACTTGCAGTTTGTGATTGGCAATGATAAGGTTAGTGAATTTATTTAATTTCTTGTTTCTGAGGATATAAAACTTTGCTTTACATTTGGGCCAGTAGATGAGTAGCTCCATCATGGTGTTCAAAGTACCAAACATCTGGAGAAGTTGAGATGAGCTACAATATTGGTTCTCTTTGTTAGGGAAGAGATTATTTTTTTGAATCTGAAACTGGGGAAGCAAAATGGCGAGAACTGCGAAAGGAGTATTCCAGAATATGAAAAGCAAGTGACAATTGGTTAATGCTTCTGGGACTCCTTACTGCGTGGAATGGAGAATCTGGCTTGGCACATTTACAATCTCTTTTGGAGCATCTTCGTTCTAACACAACTTTGCCTTTACTAAAACAATAGTGTATTTTTACGTATCTGACTTGGGTAGAAAGGGGCACGGTCAAACTGTCTCCTAAGATTTAATTGTTCCCTTCTCTTCAGTGATAAAAGTGAATATTTTGAAGTAAACATTTCATTGGCTTGCAATGTCAAATCATACTTAGTTAGACATTTCTCTCAAACATATGTATGAGTTTTTACCTTTGTATAGAACTCTTGAAATTATATTTTGGTTATCTGTTATTTAATAAGACTTTAATTTCATGTACACTTGCATATATGAATAATGGTATTAAATGCAAAAAAAGAGGGTGTGTAACATACAAAAACATTAAGGAAGACACTGTTTTCACCATCTATTATTTGGTATGTCATATACCTCATGTAAATGATAACTAACTTTTCCATTTGGCAGTATTAGTCCTTTTTCTTCCCTCTGTGTGTTAATCTTGACTGTGAATGCTTATCTTTGGCATTTTGAATAACTACTCATAAGCTGAGCTAAAGGTCTGAATAGTCCTGGTAAATAATGATTAACTCTATAAACAGGTAACACATTTGGTTTTCTAATAGCTTCTTAGAGCACATCTAAGATTTGTTTTAAATCTATGTACAATGATATTCTCTTAAAGCAGTAGGACAGTTAAAAGTATCTTTCTCTTCCCTTCCTCTGTTAAAAAAAAAAGCTATGGAGTATGTCTGTTTATGGCCAAAACTGTAATTGTTATATTTCCTGATGAAGCTCATTTATGTCACAATTTTAAGAGGTATAGTTTTGCTTCTCTCCATTTTTCTAAATTTAGCTCTTGCAGTAGTTGGTAGTAGTGTGTCATGCAAGCCCATACATTGTTTTATGGTTGCTTTCATTACGGAAAAAAAAAACCAACCTCAAAACAATTTGGTTTTAAAAAGAAAATACTAAGTAGAAGTACAGATGTACTTTCTGCATACAAATGGTACCTAGAGATATAAGGAAGCCTTTTTTACTTCGTTTAAAGGATATTCCAGATAAAATAATTAAATCCTCCTGGAAATCATTCATTTTTGTGCTATAATTAAAACTTTAAAAATACAAAATATTCTTTGTATTAAATACAGTCAATGAGTATCACTTTGACCTTGCGAATTATAAATACAGAATTTTGTTCGTAGAAGGTAGACCGTCATTTTCTGCAGCTCAGTATTTAGATCAAAGACCAAAACCTGGTGTGTGTTTGTTAGTGCTTTATCAGCTTCATACTTGTAAACATACACTTCTCAGTTGAGATCCTTTTTCCTTAAAGAAACAAAACACAGCACTTCAATGAGTTAAATATCCTTAACCAATATTAATAATACAGAACAGGTTAAGGCAGTGAGTAAAAATCTGTGTCTGAATTTTAACTGTGAGAACAAAACCCAAGTCTTAAGAAATATTGACTTAAAATATTTGAACAGTAGTATTATTTGTTCGTTGTGTATTTAAGCTTTACTCCTTCTAAGTAACTACGGTTTTAATCTTGTGGTTTTTGAGAAGTCTTAGACTTCTGAAATGCTAAGTTTTGGAATATGGTCCATTACTCTTGTGTTTCATAGTCGTCATGGTGACCTCACTTGCAGCTAGTATTCAATTTCTGTGTTATCTACAGGCTTTTAGTTCCCGGGGTTGTCGCTTTTAAACAGTGTTGTTCATTTTGCCTTGGCTTTCTGGTGAGTGGTACATTACAGACTTTGAGATATCAAGAAACTTTTTTAATAAAGACAGAAATTCCTTATTAACTTATTTTTAAAAGTCAGCAGTAACCTTTCTGTCTGTTTCTAAGCTACCTAGCTATTTGCAATAGCTATATGACTAGGTATTCTTTCATATCAAGGAAGTCAGAAATAGACTGGAATTGGGCCTTTTAGCCAAGATCAGCTATGCAAAATTCCTTGGACCTCCAGGATACTCACATGAGTGCCAAATGCATTGTTGTCACAGAGTTGAGATTTTTCAACTGCTTTACTCTTTCCTTTTACTAGGTTTAATGCTAGCTCTGCAGACTTTTAATGGAGTTTCTTTTATTTCACGGTTTGAGCAGTAGTCCGCAGTAGCTGGATTATGGAGAAAAGTCCATCAATTAGGAGAACTGAAAGCACAACATATGCCAGAGAAAATGAAGGTGTAGAACTTCTAGGGGAAGAACTATGCAATTTGTTTCTCTTTCTCTAATATTGCCCTTCCCTCTTCTTCCTCCAAACCAATGTATCGAAACACACAAACAAAAGTTTGTTTGGGGAAAAAAAAGTTATGAAGCTAAACAAAAGGGAATATACATATAATAAGTTATATATGTATAATAAAACTTGTGTATTTTTAGAAACATTTACAGTTTGAATAATTTGCAAGAATTTATAGTGAAAATCCCTTAGGTACATTAGGCTGCTTAAGTATTATTCTAATGAAGCTAATACTTAAACTTTTATTTGGAAGCTTTCACGTACAGCTGATACAATGACTTGTACACTGGGGTTATTTCTTAAGTTCAGTGGGTTTTTTTGAGGCCGATATTTTAGCGAAAGGACTGGGATTTCAATATGTTGTATTTCAAAGAAAGTAGAAGTTAGGTTGATCTTAACTGCACTTATTGGAGGAAAGAAAAAAAAAACAGATCGCTAAGCTTTTTTAAAGGAAATGCAGAAATTTGTTCCAAGTTCTCTTATGCTTATCTTTTCTAGAATCGGCTTTAGAATTGAGGAGCAGGTGTGAGTAATTAAAGAAAAAGAAATACTTGGTGATACTGAAATAAAGAGCAGAATTCCTAAATTTGAGACATTTTAAAGTTCAACATACGAGTTTTTCTAATAAAACAGGTTAACCCAAATAGCTTTAATTCTGCTCTATATTGGTGCCACATAACAATCATATGATTGTGATTGAGCCATTTTTAATGTTTGTGGTGCTTGGTTGAACAGATTTTTTTAAAGTTATATTAGAGTTCTTTCCACATCCCATCTGGTGAGCTTGTTTTAGAGATAATTGATATTTTCTGTTTTGAAATATATATGCATTTACCTGTCATTCCTTAATAACGGATAATCTTGTGGATATTTTAGAGCAGAAATGGGAGAGGTGGAGACTGGTAACATCCTTGGTGCATATAATTTGAACTTCCTGGTTTTTAAGTCTTTATTACAAAGAGTTCGCAGTATTTATTATTTGACACACAATCTCAATTTAAAAACAGAAGATTTACTAACACTGACAACACTTTACTCAATTATACTGAGTTTAGAGTGGCTTTCTGCTGCCAGATCAAAGGATCTTTACCTTGGTTTTGGATTGCCTATTTTAGAGGGCTGTTTTACTGAAATTGAGAGTTATGTGAAAGTGAACAAACAGCGCAGTGTTCTGAATTCCTATATCTTTGCTTTGAAAATTTTTTCATAGGCTGCTGTTACAAGATGTTGCATAGTGGCAAGAACTCCTTGGAAACGTTGAGCATACTAGTGCCCAACTAGTACGATTGTTAGGCTGGTTAAATCTACTTATGCTTCCTTTGTGTCCAGTGTCTCTATTGACTCCAAGATATTTTTTTATCTTTTTTTGCATAGATAGTAAAGGAATTTGTAAGGAAGGGGACTGGAGTGACTCCTCAGAAACCTGGCTTTCTTTTTAATATTTTTTAATTGTTACTAAATTTAACAATAATAAAATGGGGTTTTTTTACTCTTAAGTGCTTCTTGCAAGATCAGAAATAGAATGGTTATGAACATACAGCAACATTATGAATACCTGGTGTAGATTAGGGAGGTATCAGTGCTGTTATATACTGTAAGCAGAAGCTTATTAACAGTCTCTGCTAGCAGATATTTAAAAGACATTTCTACACTAGTTTTGGGGATGAAGATAATGCTTTGGGCTGGACAATAATAGGTGAGAAGTTGTATGAGAACACTTTTAAAAATATTTATTATTTTAAAAAGTATTTGACTTGAGAAGAAGCGAAAGGGGGAAAACTGTTTTTAGTTACTGTCACTGTATTTGAAAATATTAGCTACTGTTTTGAAATATTGCAGTTCAGTTTAATATATGGACACTTTTAAAATGTTAATCTTCAGGCAGGTGAATATTGTGCCATTTTTACATATCTTCCAAATTCCTGACTCTGGGAGTAAGAGTTAAATGGAAAGGGCTTCATTCAATAATTTTTCTGTTTTAGATACAGCATTCACTTTAAAATCGTGGAAGTTGAGGAGTAAAGTAACAATAGTAGAAAAGTGGTGGCAGTGAGTTTTTTCAGAAATTACTATGAAAAGTTTTGAAGTACTCTTCCTTTAAAGACTTTAGTGGTTTTTTAAAACCTGTTGAGTGGATATCAC